TTAAGCACTTTAAACGTCAACGGTAATAAAAGTTATTTTTTTTTCAATTCTTGCTTAACTTTCGGATAACATTTGACTACTTGGTACTCATAATATGCGACACTCTATATAAATTACCTCGCAAAATTGGCTGATTCTAAAAAATCTCAACAAAAAAAATTTACAAAACATCTCCATTAAAACAGGCCACAAACAAGAGCGTATGCATGATAATGACAACCATATTTATAACATTATTGACGGCTTCACGGTACACGTGGTTGTACAACCAAACTTATATAAAGATATAAATAAGTATGTATGTATATTTATACATTCATAAGTAGATTCATATATAGAAAGACGTATAAAAAATCAAAACAAGGGTTGTCGCTGAACACAGTAAATCAAGTAATCAAATAGCAAACGGTCGGTCACGTGTCACACGACGCACTTCCATAACGGAAAACACAACAAAACGCAAGCGGAAATCAGCATAGCATGTAGTTCCCAGGCATTTGCCACACCAACACTACCCCGCTCCCTGACGCCAGCCAACACATTTTGAATAGCGGAAAAAGATTTTTAAGTGTTATTATTTTTGAGCAAGTGTTCGACCAAACGGACGGTGGAACAGGTTGATAAGTCTGCTAAATACTGGTTAGCAACATATAGACATACCAATAATAATGCTAAGTGTAGCATGTGAGTTTTTTTTTTTTATATACATATAAAGACCAGTGTGATTTGTGGTGCGTGTGTCGGGGGATTTCGAGATTGAGTTGTGCCTATCGTTGTGAAGATGGTATCGGCAATTTGCGAACGTGTGCCTAGTTGCGAGTGTGTGAGTGTAGAATTACAGTGATAATGCAATATTTGCAAATTGATTTTTCAGTTTTCTTATGCCACTTCTGATTGCTAATAAAATATATTATAATAATGAAAATACTGAATTTAAAGATTTAAAATGTAAATAAAGTAATAAACAAAAATATTGTCGAAAAATGTACTTACGTAAATATAAATAAGAAAAACGTTGCCCTCGGCTGCAACGAAGCTATAATACGCTTCACAGTTGATTTGCTTTTAGCATAAAAGGGTATGAAAAGACGTTATCTCGATTTTGTTTGGTCAGTTTATATGGCAGCTATATGCTATAGTAGTCCGATCTGAACAATTTGTTAGGATATTGTAGCGTTGCTTTGGACTATAATCCATACACAGTTTCGTGACGATATCTTGACAAATAAAAAAGTTTTTCATATAAGTATTAGATTCGGATCGGTTAGTTTGTATGACAGCTATATGCTATAGTAGTCCGATTTGAACAATTTATTTGAAAATTGTAGCGTTGCTTTGGATAATAGATTATGCCAAATTTCATGATGATATCTTGACAAATAAAAAAGTTTTTCATATAAGAAATTAATTTGGATCGGTCAGTTTGTATGACAGCTATATGCTATAATAGTCTGATAGCAGCGGTTCCAACAATGGAGCAGCTTCTTGACGAGAAAACGTAGTGCGCAAAATTTCAGAACGATATCTCAAAAACTAACACGCTTTCGTGGTGTTACAAGCTCGTGGCAAACTTATTATGTATACCCTGTTCGGGGTATAATAAAATAAAAATAAAATAATAAACAAAAATCTTGTCAAAAAATGTACTTACGCATATACCTATAAAACACTTCCAAGTCAAAAGTTTAAACATAACCACACATTTCATGATAATATCACTCAAAACTTTTCGTAGCTGTCATAATTAAAACTATCAGCAGTTCGCACTGCGCACACAAGAGGCATAAAACCAAATGGTAGAACAGCAAACGATTGTCCGCCAAAGCATTTGTACGCAAATTAACAAAACTTTTAAGTATAATTGCGCTAAATTAGTTGTCAGCGTCAAAATGTGCCACTAAAGGACTAAAGTTTACATCGGTTGTGCTAGCTCATAGGGCTGCCCGCTCGCCACAGCTTGAAGCTGTAAGTTGTCGCTTGCGGCACAGCAAAACACTCGTCATTATTTTGGTGTGCTGCTGCGGTCTGGAGTGGTTGTAATGCTCCGCTGTATGCCTGCTTGAAATTGTTAGCCAAAAACATCACCATAAAATGAAAATAAAAGTGAGGTTATGTTATTTCTGTGACTTTATAAATTTTGAGTTTAGTCTTGAAGTGCCTAAATACAGCAGCGTGCAATAAAATATGAGCACTGAAGCTACATTTCATAAATAGTATCACTAAAAATCAACAATAGTTTTACATTCAAACATTTCTCTCAGCGCCTGGTGGGCGGCTCGATTGCAGAGCTCGGTAGCTGCAGCGAATGAAAGATTAACCATTTTAGTAGCAAATATTTATTGAAGAAATTTGCGTAAGAGTATTTTGCACAATAATATATTACTATGATAATTTGGTCTAATTCTAGTCTCTTACAATTTGATCATATTTAGATTAGCTACTAGACACCAAATTTCGGGTTGTCCAAAAGCTTGGTGTGATTTTTTAATTATAAAGTAATAAACAACTTCAAAAAAGTGCAAAGAAGATAACAATAAATCCTAAGTTTTGTAATGGAATTCACGAAGATATTAAGGAAGTTTAAACTTTTAAATAGATGGCAAGTTTTCCAAATATAATATTTCTGCAATTAAAATGCTCTTTAAAACTGCTTAACTATAAATATAGCTTGAAATAATTCTTTCATTTTATCAACATATCAAAAATATATATATAAACAGGTGGCAACTGTTGCAAAAATATTTTTAACTTTAAATCCTCTTGAACCCCTTTTGAAGCCTTTATTGTGTTAATAGTTTTTCATATTAATTTTACCGAATTAAAATTAGTTTACTCTAAAAAGCTTAGCTGGCAACGTTAGACAAAAATATTTGCAATCGTAAACCTTTTATGTGTATATGGAAATAACCCTTTTGTTTTATAAAAAAAAAATGAAAACAGTTGGCAACGCTTTGAAAAATATTTTCAGCTGTAAACTTTTCTAAATCACGTTTGAAACCCATATTTTATAAAATATTTTATCTTATTAATTTTATTGAATTAAAATTATTTTACTAAAAAGAAATACAGCTGGCTACCTTTTACACCTAGTTCGGTAGCGAGAAAGTCTGTGTATGACATTTAACGCTCATCGTAGATATTGCTGGTCTGCAGCAAAGAAAAAAATTAAATGATCCCGACTTAAGACTTGTTGGAAGAACTCTCCATATAAAACATGAGATTTATATATTAATATAAAATAATTCCTCTAATGGTATTAATAACGGATAAAATAACTTCAATGAAGTAGGGCTAGTCCTTCGTGTTGTACCTGTCAAATTTGGAATGCAATTATTTTTGTCTGAGAATCTTTGCTTAGAAAATGTTTTTATTTAACAATGACTTTAAAACAGCTTCCGGTAGTTTGCAATAATAACAAATCCTAAACTCAAAGTTTTTAGTGAATCTAGAAGACCAATATGCGAATTAATGCTTAATTTTTTGAGATATCGATCTAAAATTTTGCACACATCATTTCCTCTACAAAAATCTGCGCAATTGTCGGAACCGCCGATTTGTTAACAAGATATTTTCACAAAATTCGGCATTAATTACTGTCCAATAAATAAATAAATTATTCAGATCGGAACACTATAGCATATAGTTGTGATTATAGCTTCGAGGCAGCCGAAGTCAATTTTTTTAATTGTTAGAACTATCTTTTGAAGCAAATTTTCTCTTCAAAACCATCGAATTAATATTTAGAAGGGATATACTAAAATAAATATTTATGCAAATATAAAGATAGTTAATTTCAAAAATTTTCAGCAAAAAGATTTTATTTACAACTTAATTGTGACCCTTAAATGAACCGAAAAGCGAAAGAAAAGAAAATCACTAAACCGCAATATCATATTTTACTATATTTACAAGTCATTAGCGGAATATTATTGAGAAATTTAATTAAAATCAGTATAAAGCGCTCACCCTCTAAGCTAGAGAAAAAATGTACAATACTTCCCGACGCTGATTCGTAATCTCATCGATGACAGTAAATGGAAGAAAATACTCATAATTTATTTGTGTGCCAAGAGGACAAAAGCGATTTGCCAAAATATTTGACGACCAACACATTAATAACACTGACATCAACAACAACAACAATGCTGCAGCAGCATTAGCAGCCAACAAGTAATGCATGCATATGAATAATAAAGCAAGAAACGCAAATCCCCGCAACAAATAATTGAGCCTGCCATGTGATTCATGAAGCATAGCAGATCATTGATTTTTCTTCTCTAACATCAGTGTGCACACAGCAATAAGTGTGGCTTGTGCTTTTGCCAGTCACAAAAACGCACAAGAGCAAACCCTCATGCGCCTACGATACATATCAGCGGCAATAACGTAAACTCTAGAAAGTATATATACACGCACACACACACTCACTTATAGTTGTCGAACAAAACAGCTGCTGACAAAACTATTAGCCGGACGACTTTTTCTTTTTTGCCACGAACATCGTATATGGGCACTCACAGTTTGAATGTGTGTGAATGTATGTAGATTTGGCTAGCGCACGTAACAAGGGTAGCTGCTACCGTGGCAGATATGAATTTGAAATCTGTACTGACATGATTTGCAGAAAGCCTTCAGCAGCAAGACAAATAGGTTGTAGTTGTTGTGGATAGCAGGCGGTGCAACATGGTCTGTGAGTACAGGAGTCAAACTCAAGAGCAAATGATAAATTATTGGGGGGATTGTTAATTTGATGACACTCAAACCGAAACCGGATTATCTTTATGTCCGTCGTATTATAATCGCTGAGCGCTTACAAATAGACAGCGTATGAGCTGCAGTGCATATGTCGGCTTTGGCGTGTAGTTTCAAAGAACAATACTGGTTGGAAGAAGTGTTTTATTTTGATTGTTTGTGAGATTTAATACGGCAAAGTCATTTAGCTCGCAATTAGTAAGGAATTAATGCATATTATATTATGAAAAGTGAAATGAAGAACTTACTTGTGTCTACGCATATAAAGGGTTATGTCTGCTTCTGTGACTCCTTTTGCGTTTATGCGATTTGTGCACTTAATTCACTATATTCTGTGTATTTGCTTTGGACAATACATATAAAAAAGCTTAATTAACACTATTTTCCAATAATAAATGCATTTCGCAAAAATATTTCACATATTCTTTTATTAACTTTTTACAATTTTGTTTGACATTCGCAATTTGTAATCAAATTGGCGCAATAAACGTATTTTACAAATGACAGCGGAAGAGGATGTATTCAGAGTTGCATGGCATACTTTTAGTGAATACTAAAATTTTAGATTGCTGTTAAAAAATATTGTAAATATCAATTTTAAATAACAACCAAATCTACACCAAAATCATTGAAACAAAATCTTTGCAATAAAGTATTCAATAATTTTTAAAATACATAGTTGTTTAACAAGGCGCTTGTTTTGTCGTAGTTCAGCAATTATTTATATCTTATGTAACACCCTGTGCGAAGATTTTATGTCAAACAAGGAAGGCAATGAACACGGCCGGCGAAACAGCTGTGCCGCAAAACAATGCAGTTTCTTTATTGCACAAGGGAATTTTTTCATGCTGTAGAAATTCACTTAGAATACACATTATCAAATGCTTCCAAAAAAATTATTCTTCCTTATATCAATTATAAACATATATATTCCACTTAATACATAAAATACAAAATTTACGAATATTGCCATCAATAGGGTGCATATGGCCGATTTTTTTCCCAATAATTTCTCAGATGTTAGCAACATTGTTTCAACACGTTATTGGAATTTTCGACAGCCCGCGTGTTTTGTTGCGTTTTGCAAGTGAAAAAATACGAATTTAGGAATATTATAAATATTTAATTAAATTAAAGAAAGTGCAGAAAAATGTCGACTTCACTGCAGGAGCAATTACAGCGCCTGGCCGTGCCCCAGACCATGGCATTGGCTGATTCGCGTTCGAAAGCTTCAGTGCTTTTTGATCGTAAAGAAGCTGGCACGAAAACACGGCGTATCATATATGAAATAGGTTTAGCTGGTTTGCAGGAGCTCACAGCGCTGAATCCCATCTTTCAGTCTTTTGAAAATACGCTATTCAATGAATCCACTATTGATTTGGAACGTTCCGTCGAGGAGGAAGAAGTAAATAAACTACTCGATCGTAATATCAAAAAATTCCTACAACACCTTTCACCCTACTTCTTGTTGCGCCCAACGCTCATGTGTTTGGAATGGTTAATACGTCGTTTTCATATACAAGAATATAATCGCAATGCGCTACTAGCTTTAGCTTTGCCGTATCATGAAACGAATGCGTTCATATTAATATTGCAAGTAATACGTATTAAACAAGCTGATCAAGAATGGAATTGGCTGCGTCCATTGCAGAAACCCGGCGTGCCTGTGCCCAAAACCGTTCTGATCAACCGCGCTGCCAGCGATGTGGCCTTCCTTAAATTCATTTGTCAGGCGACATTGGATGCTGTGAAAGAGTTGGGCACACGTGCCAACTCGCTGCAGACGCAACTGAATTTTTATGCTTCCGTTGTTGTTGGCGCACTCGAGCATGCAGCTACTGTAGAGGAGTGGCACATAATATCTATACTACCTTCACTGCTTAAGGGTCTACAATCTGAAGTATTGGATTTCGCAGCGGCCGCTTATATTGTGGCCACCCAATTGGTGGCGCGTACACAAGTAACGCCGAAATTGTGTAATGCTTTGTTAGAGCGCGCTGCGTCTGTGTCATTGGAACGTTTACGTCAAACAGCCGTGTTATTTTTGGTGTTTATCTTCGATAGTCAGCACCGTGCTAAGCCGCAATTTAGTGAAAATGCTTTATTGCATTTGGCAACAGAAAAATGGTTTACCGCGATTTTTGCCGCCTTGGCTAAAGGCAATGTATATTTACATGCATTGTATGTGGCGTTGTTGCAACAAGCGCTCAGCGCCATACAAGCAGAGCACAAAGATTCGGATGCTTTGAAGTCGTTTCTTGAACGTTTATTAAGTGATGTGGTGTTGAATGATGATACGGCGGAGGAAATGATTAAGTAGGTGTTAATTAATTTACTATTTTTTAATAAAGTTACACTCCACATATATATTTACTGTTTTAGCGCTTTTCTCAATGCATACGAAGAGCAGCCGCTGTCACCGCAGAATGCGATACAGGATGGTGAAATGATTGAGCTCAGTTCGGACGACGAAGAAATGACAGCTAATAATAGCAACTTCCAAGCTTGGTATTCTGATTATCTACGTAAGCTGGAGCGAAAATATCCCGTGGCATTTGATCACACCCTAAAGCATGGTCTAACCTCAAATTCGCAAGAATTCGCCAGCAAGCGCAGTGTGCTTAAAATGGCTTTAGGTAACTATCATTTAGTTTAAATTTCTATTATTAACTACTATTTATTGATTTGGTGCAATACTTACAGGTTTCCGTTTAAAGACGTTTGATCCAAGCGCCACAGATATCTACGAACAACTCTACCACTACACAGCCAAAATACGCGCATTTGCCGTGCAAACCCTCTTGGCAAACTTACGCGATTACAGCGCGCGTCCTCAAAATATGCATTTACTACGCGAATGCCTCGCCGATCGTATAGCAGACGACAGTGAATTGGTTATTAAAGAAATCTTGAAGTTGCCGACCGCCGAGTTTGTGCAAGTGCTAGGCGCTGAGAAGGTAGCTGAGTCCTTAATTGCGATTTTGAATAAAGTGCAGCAAGATGCCGAACACTGGGCGCCACTAACAGCATTAATCGTGCAGCATTTAACGAGCGCAGAAATTGTAGAGCACTACGATACAAATATAGTATTGTTGGCTTTAATGCCGCTACTCTTCCCTGACAACAGTAAAACCAACACTTTCATGGCCATTACTAACATACTAAAAAGTCCTTTAAGCGCAAAGATTGGTTTCTTGCAAGAGCTGAAACTGTTGTGTGATAGTGAAAGCTTCAACGCAGTCGAATTTAAGAAACAATTTCTCGATGTCATCTCCAAATCAACAGCAACGCCGACAGCGTTAAGTCTCTTTCGCAGCGCAGAGACGCATGGCGAACGCATCTTTAAAAACGCTTTACATTTTTCACATTTCTTGCTGTTAGCCACAGCCTTTTTGAAAACCGATTTGACTGGCGCCGAGGCTCGTTACGTATTCACGCAAATACGCACGAACTACCGACGTTTTCGCGTGCGTCAACTAGACAGCAAACAATGGGATTTGGTGGAGAAAGAGAAATGCATACCATTGCAACTGTTCTCCGATTTTATCGTCTCGCTAGCGCAGCATACACATTTCGAGCATCTCTTCGAGTGGGAGCAAATACACGATGATCTGCGCACATTTTTAGACATTTTCACTCTGCTCGCCGAGGAGGGTTTCCAACAAAGCAAAGCGGCTGCGCAGCAAACCGAATGGTTGCGTACGTTGAAAGAAGTATTCGACAATATCTTCGATAATGCGCAGCAAAAGCTGGAATTTCTCAGCAATTTCTATGTATATGAGACTAATGCCGCGCTTGGCGCCGACTATGCGCTGCTGCGTTTGCGCGCTTTCAAACTAACCAATGCGTTATTCAAAAATAAAAACAATAAATTGCATATCAATACCGCACACGTGTTTCGCTTAGCTAGCGCTTTGAATGCGCCCTCGGAGACGACGCGTCTACAAGCGCTCGAGACGCTTCAAGTGCTGAAGGCGTGTGCGCAATTAAGCGCGCCGCTGCAGTACTTCGTCGACAGCATATTGGCGCGTAGCTATGAGTTTAGCATGGATCACGAGCAATTCCCACTCATACTCTATACCATACTGAAGCCGTTGCATAAGAAACAACAACCACAAAGCTTAAAAGTGTTGCGTGAAATTGTGCAATTGGTCACCGCCGAGGATGCGCTTAAACATGCCGCGTTCACCGCGCAAATACTGCAGACGCTCAAGCATATAAACGATGCCAGTTTGCTGGCCGATTTTATACCGTTAGGTGCGCGCACGCTCACGCAGACGCACGTCGAGGGCGCCTTGCTGCTTTTGCCGCAACCCTACAGTACTATATTGCAATTGATATGCGATCGTTTTGAGCGTCAAACCATTGACACTGTGCTAGTGGATCAATCCGCCGCTTGGCAATTCATCGTGCAGCTATTCGGTGCGCACAACGTGTACATACAACATGGCAGTAAATTGCGCGCGGCGCCATGTGTGCTGCTCGAGGCGCTCGATGAGTACTGCTACGAGCAGATACCGCAAATTTACAAAACCGACTTGATCAAATTGATTGTGCAAACCATGGCCGTCACCGACACCGATGCAATCTTTCTAAGCGCCAATAAATTGTTGAAGCGTTGCAGCATCAACTGTGCACCATTGGTGGAATTGCTAGCTCAAATGACGCGCATCGTTGCAGTCAACGAGGAGGGTGATGGCGCCGCCGCCAAGCGTAAGTCCAACGTCATATCAGCAACAAAGCGTGACGCGCAAGCGCAAAACCAACTCGCAACGCAAATCACCACCAAAGCTTGGAAGCAGGGTGTCGCATTGCTGGAATTGCTCGAGCACAAGAAAAAGCTCGAGGAAGCCGAGCAATTGCTGCCCGCGCTCTTCGATTTGTTGCGCTTCTGTTTGGAATTGGAGGAGCAAGCTGTGGTCGAGTACACCAAACAGTTGACGCTCTCAACGCTGCTACACTGCTGTCAGCTAGCGCAAGCGGCCGGCGTACAATTGACTAAAGTGTTGCCCAAGTCGACGTTCCGCATTGATTTGATTGTGCAGTGTGTGCGCGCCGCGCAGAATCCGCAAACGCAGAATAATGCTTTGCTGTTGTTGTCACATTGCGCAGCGCTCTTTCCGCACCAGGTGCTGCACAGCGTTGTGGATGTGTTCACATTTATGGGCTCGTCGGTGGTGCGACACGATGATGCATTCAGCTTTCACATCATCAATAATGTGATCGAATCGATTGTGCCGATTTTGGTGCGCTCACAGCATGCCGACAGTGGTGTCGAACACAGTAACACGTTGGAGCTCGTCATACCGGTGCTGAAGGTATTCTCCGATATACTTTTGGACGTGCCGGAGCACCGTCGCTTGCCACTGTACAGCAAGCTGCTGTTGACGCTTGGCGGTGAGCAGTTTTTATGGATTTTCCTTTGTATCGTCTTCGAAGCGCATGTGCTGGAGGATGAGAAGCAGCGTCTACTGCAACGCAAACACAAGAATGATAAGCCCATCGGTCCGGCAGCGGCGGCTGATGAGAAATACTCTAAACGTTTGGAAATCTGTCTGGAGCTGACCAATGCATTCGCGCCCGAAATTACGCTCGACACTTGCATTGAGCTACTCGGCTATATCAAATTATTGCCGATGGATAAAGCAGATACGGTAGGCGTTAAAGCTAAAGCGAAGAAGTCTGTCGACGCCACCGAACAAAGTCTGTTCGATGTGAAATGTCGCACCGCCAAACAATTGCGTCACTACAAATACGTTATAATGCAGTATCTCTCGGGTATTTCGAGTTCACCACAATTTTTGCGTAAAATCGCTATGCTTAGCGATGAGGAACAGTTGGCCATAAAGCCATTTTATCAAAATTTTATCATAAAAACACTCTCGTACATACCGTTAGTAAATACAGCCATCGAAACAGTTGAGGAAACATCACAATTGAAATTCTGGAAAGTCATACTACATCATTTGCACGATGTGTTGGACAATGCTATCTCATTGCTATCGCCTGACATGTTCCTGGTCGTCATATACGGTCTCATGCGTCATCAATTGGTCTCCATACGCAAGAAAGTTATCGAATTGTTGATTAATAAACTACAAAAACGTGATGGCTACTTTGATAGCTGTGATCCGCAAAATTTCTATAATCTTCTAGAGCCGCTTAGCGACATCACCATGGGCATACTTACACACCACGAGTCGTCGTCAGCCACATCGGGCACTGCTTCACCCTCCACCCCCACCAATGAGTTGGTTTTCCTGCAGCAGACAGCGCTCATTGCCATCAAACTCTTATCGAAAATGTTTGCTTTGCAACATATTGACGAGTTCAAGAAAATACTCGCCCATCTCATTAAGGTGCTGAAGCAACGTTCGAAGATTTCGAAAATTGTCTTGGCTACAGTTGTGCTCACCATTATAGAGATCTCTTCGAACTTGAAGGCTCACTCGTTAGCTTTGCTGCCGAAATATATGCCTCAAATGATAGAGATCCTACAGGATCAAGCGAAACTCGTGCAGTCTCAGCTGCCGGATAACGTGTGCATCGCAATCATAACAGGTGAGTGCGCACAAAAAAAAATAATATTCGTAAAGCATAAAATTGTAAAAGTGTGCAGAAAATATTCCTGTGTATCGGAAAAAAGTATTTCGGAACTTAATTCCTAACCTCAACTGGTTCAAAAACTGCAGTAGCTCCACAGTGCCTAGAAATAAGCTTTAATCTGCCTGCGTAAATCTTCTTTAGAGTTCTACAAGTTTTCATCGTTATAAAGATTTAGGTTAAGTTAAAACAAAATCAAATTAGTTTGGATAAACGAGAGGGAAAATATTCTTGAGCACCGAAAAGAGTATTTAGGAACTATACTCTTCACGTCGAACGGTTGGAAATCAGCACAAGCTCAACAATTACTAGAAATAAGCTTCAATATGCCTGGATTAATTTTCTAAGCGCTCTACAACTCTCTTGATTGTGAAGGTTTAGGTTAAGGTGAATCAAAATCAAATTCCATGACTGAAGATTTAGGTTAGTATGAACCAAAGTCAAATTAGTTTGGATAAACGCGGGAGAATATGTTCCTGAGCACCGAAAAAAGTTTTTGGAACTAAACTTCTAAACTCAAACGTAGCTCTACAGTGCTCAAAAGCAAGCTTCATTGTCTGTATTAATCTCCTTTAGAGTTCTACAAGTTTTTATGATTATAAAGATTTAGGTTAAGTTGAAACAAAATCATATTCGTTTGGATAAACCAGCGGAAGTACAGAAACATTTGGAAAATAGTATCTTTAAAACGCTGCAAATTCCAAAAGCGTCATGAAGAGCTCAGTTAACCCAAAAAAGATTTTCGGTTCTCTGAACTGGAAGCTAGACTCAAGAATTTCCTTTCATAGTAAAAATTTCAAGAGGCTCTGCAGTATTGAAACAATCGACACTCAAAACCCACTGAGTTTACTATGTAAAATTCTTTCAAACAGAATGAGATGAAAAGAAAGAAAAAATTTCAATTCTAACCTAACTAATTTTTGAAAAGTTAAAAGTTTTGAATGCTTTCAGTTGGTTTTGTAAGTAAGTAGTCAAAATTTGTAGGTTAGGTTATTACAATGCAGTTTAAATAAAAAAATGTTGTCATTATAGACACACTGTTCAGTGTATAAAAATATGTTTTGAATCCATCTCTAATTACGTCATATTAATATTTCTCGCAACCTTTTCCAGGCACGCAAAAACTCTTCGAATCGCTGCCACTCTTCCTGGGACCCTACGTCGTCGACGTAATAACAGCGTTGAGTACAATTTCCGCCAACATCAGCGCACAACAAACCGAGCGCGATCAGCGCGCCACCACCGCCCTGCACCGCATCAGCCTAATTTGGTCGAAAATCGCCAGCGATGTGCCGGTGCGCATACTGGTGCCAAGCTGTGAAAAGTCCTATCGCAAGTTAATGGCCGCACACAATTACGCCGATATCGCTGTGCTCATGCAACTACTGCCCGAATGCATAAATAAGACACCAAGCGCCGAGCTGAGTGCCTTACAAAGCGAATTGGGCGCATTCTTCTTACACACACTTGAATTCCGCCTGCAGGTGCGTAACAATTGTGAGCGTGAGCGCGTTGCCAGCGCGGAGAAAGTCATTATTGATGCATTCGTTACATGGGTGCTGAAACTATCCGAAACCAGTTTCCGTCCATACTATCAGAAAGTCTACGAGTGGGCCATCAAAGAGCGCGCAGAACGTGAAACCATACTGACCTTCTTCTTGCTCACCAACAAAATCGCCGAAGCGCTCAAAACGCTATTCTTACTCTTTGCACGCGATTTCATTAATGATGCGGCGAACTTGCTCAACGAATATAATGCGGCAAAGCAAAATATTGAAGAAGATGTGGAGGCACTCACCAGCGATATTGTCAAATCCATTTTGAATACGCTGTACACGCTGTTCCTGCACGACAGCAACGGTTTCATTAACAATCAACGCTTTGAGGCGCTTATGCAGCCGTTGGTCGATCAGTTGGAGAATCGTTTGGTGTTGGAGAGCGAAGAATTGCAACAGGTTTTGCAGACGTGCCTCGCCCAACTGGCTGCGGCCGTCTCCAATGACATCATGTGGAAGCAACTAAACTATCAAGTGTTGATGAAGACACGCACCAATGTGCCGGAGGTGCGCATATTGTCATTCAATTGTTGTTTGGAGATTGCGCGTAAATTGGGCGAAGACTTTACGCCACTGCTGCCGGAAACGGTGCCTTTCGTGGCTGAGCTCTTGGAGGATGAGAACCAACGTGTCGAGAAGAATACACGCAAGGCTGTGCAGGAGCTGGAAAACATACTTGGCGAATCGTTGCAGAATTACTTATAAGTTTGCTGATAGAAGATTTGAATGTGTATATATAAGAATTTTAATAAATATTTGACAAAGTTTCCAAGCATCCATAATACAAGAATCTGCTGTCTAAAATTATAAGTTTTCGGGTGCGTTGTTCATCAATCAAACACTTCAAAACTAACTAGCATCACTCAAATTGGAAAATTTTCAGCACTCGTCAATCATTTTCATTAAGCCATGGCTTAGTTAAAAAATAATTTCTCAACATCAAGCAAATTACACTCAAATTACTTCACGCGAACCATCAATCAATCAAATATTTTAAAATTCATATAACATCAATCACACAGTGAAATTCAAATCAAGCGCAGAATAATAATGTTTACTTTAAATCTTCAATCTGCAGATCAATATTCATGCAAACCATCATCAATCGATCTGCAGATTAAACTTCATGCAAACCATCATCAATCAAATATTTTGAATTTTATTTTACATCAATCAGACAATGAAATTCAAACTAAGCACAGAAGAACGATTTTAACTAAAAATCTGCAATCAAAAATACAGATCAATCACCATGCAAACCATCCCCAATCAAATATTTTAAATTTCATTTTACCACAATCCGACATTGAAATTCCCAGCAGGCACAAAATTTTACATCAATCAAATATTGAAAATCGCATCAAGCACAGTAAAATAAGTTTAACTAAAAATCTTCAATCGAAACCGCAGATCAATCTTAATATGGACCATCATCAATCAAATATTTTAAATTTCATTTTACATCAATCAGACATTGAAATCCACTCAAGCATAGAATAACAATTATAACTTAAAATCTTCAATCGAAATTGCAGTTCAATCTTTGATCCCTTTAGACAAGTTTATAGCAATCAGACTAAGCTATAAGCCATCAAATCCGCAATCCAATCAAAAATTATAAATTCGCCACAAAGCCACATTTTTGAAACCACCGATTACAAACGATTTTTTTTTTTTATAACTCAAGCGTACATCAATCATTCCATATGCATACATATAAGTCATCAATCAAGCTTTTCAAATCAATACTACCATCAAGCAAAATTCACCAGGTAAGTTTAGATGAACCCTAACGCATTATATAAAACTAAAATAATTTATAGACTAGAATACTTTATTCTCTTTACTCCCTTTGACGCTCCAAATCCAATTCATTCACATTAAAAACATCGCGAAGTGTAGATTTTTTCCAAGTAAACCCAGCTTTGCGGGTTTCAAATATATGTATTTTAGCAGGTTAGATGCCTGTGGACTAGGTCAGATCATAACATTTTTTCTAAAACGTATAAATGGGAAGCTCTAAACATTTTAAGAGAGAGAGATAGAGAAATAAGTGTCCGAGTTTAGAGACTTAATTACCTTGAGCATCGGAAACTAGAGAATCAACCCATTAACACTACCTTAAACCTGGCTTAAATAACACCAAAAACTGCAAGTTACAAGTCAGAGCTGCGTTGATGGAAAACTTGTCGGTGAGAGTCTATTAGAATTGGCAATTGCGTCTGCTCATTTTGAGATATCTACCCCTTCGAACACTGACTACTGCCGTTTTTTGTTCAAAACTTAGGCTGAATTTTCACCAAAGTCTGCACGCTTGTCCAAATCACCAAAGTCTAGAAATAGAATAGCCTTAGCAGACATGTTGGTATATTATAAGAGAGTTTACTAGAAAGTATTATCTCTAATGATTGATTAAGCTTGTATAGCTTATTGTAAGCCACTTATAGCTAGCAAAGTTTCACTTTATGTGCTATTTTTGCAATTCTAAGTTTTTAAATCCTAAAAATAAAGCTTCAGTTGATATTCTGTTTAATCCTCAAAGGGATTTTAAGTCGAATTACGGTAAGCTTCTGTTACATAGACCGACAAGACTCTAGATTTCGCCATACTATCTAATTCTGCAGACTTTAGAAGCACTTCTACTTTCGTTTACCACTTTTACTTTCGTTTACCACTTTTAGCCTGTGCGCAATCGCTTTCTTCAGACGGTTCAATTGTTGACAGTACAGTAGCGAATTTAGAGTTTGGAGTTTGAGGGGAGCAGCTTATATTAGACTATTCCCTGCCAATCGCACCCAAACTCATATCAAAACTTTGCAGACCGTCAATCCTGGCTTCGTCACCTTTTGCGTTGGCTCATCGCGATACGAGCACAACCGTTTTCGCTTGATATTGTCATAAGTGATCTACTTTGCGCTTCATTATAAACTGATCGATTTTTAATTGAGCTGCTGGTGTGGGACGTACTGCTAACCCACTATTAGTGGAACCTTTAAGCCTTAAAAGAGCATTTATACAAGCCTTTCTAGACGCTTTGACCCGCAACGCTATTCAGCTATCATTCTCTCAAATTATCTCATAAGCTGACTTCCGTGTTTTGTAATACAATTTTAGCCGTGTTTCAAAACCACGTAAAAAAACGAGTTAGTAAAGACAGACACCAAATTATTAATTTTCTCTAAGCAAGGTTAATTTTACTTTTATACCCCGAACAGGGTATATGAAATGAAATTTGATATATATTATAGTTCAAGACAGTGCTACTATACCCGAACAAATTATTCAGATCGGACCAATTTAGCATATAGCTGCCATACAAACTGAACAATCAATATCAAGTTCTTGTATGGAAAACTTTTTTATTTGACCATATATCTTCATGAAATTTGGCATATATTATTGCAAAGCAACGCCACAATCTACTAACATTTTGTTCAGATCGAACCACTATAGCATATAGCTGCTATACAAACTGAGCGATCAAAATTAAGATAGAGATCTTTTTATACAATTTTATGCTATGAGAAATGCATCTGCGAAGGGCATTATACTATATTATACTGATTACAACGAAAAAGAACACATAAAAAGCAACAACAACAATATTTCCTTTTGTTATATTTAATTTATCGCACTGACTATTCGTTTCAATATTCATTTTTATTAATTAAGTATATATATATATATTATTTTTTATCAAGTAATTTATAACTTATAAACAATTAGGCGCAACAAATAAGCAAACAAATAAACACAAAAACAAACTTATGGGCGGTAGGGGTGGGCATAGTAGTATCTGTAGAATAGATATTCACATCTCCTGCCGATGGCTGCTGCTTAATACTATTTGCAACATATTCGTACATTATCATTTATTCAGCAACGTAATCACGTAAACGTAGTGAAAACCCTGTGCAACAACAACATGTACTACAACACGTCGTTCTACAAACAAAAGCAATGTCATATTTTGAAATTTTTCGGTTTCTTCGTTAGTGCAGACCAAAAGCGTAAGAGTTGTTGCTGCACAACTGCATTTTCTCATGAGTTTATATGTGTGTATGTGTATGTGTGCGGAGTCGTAGGCTAATGACCATAGCCAATATTGTTGATGTGTGCATTCGATTGTGTATTGTCGGCGGTGGTTTTATCTGCCGGTAATTCCGGATCCTCGCGCTCCTCCTCCTCGTCAATAATGCTAATGTCACGAATGGATGGCCGATGGCTGCGGCGCCAACCTGCAAAGAGTGAAGAGAAATATAACAATTTAATCACTTCTTTATTGCACGTGATTGTTCTTGTTGTTGTTGTGATTTTTGTTTTTGGTTTTTTTTTTGTTTTTTTTTGTTATTCTTGTGTTTTCTGCTTACCCTCCAGCACTTGCGGCTGTTTGGTGCGTGTCAGCAAGCGCGGCCCGGTGAGTGTAATCAAGATGGCGCCCAATGGCGCTGTCAACACAATACTTAAAACGCAAAGTGTCTGCACAATATAGGCGTAACGCTTCTCCGCGTCGGTGGCATTGTCGCCCAAGTTGCGTAAGGCGACCGGTGCGAGTGCGGCCTGCACGGTGGCCTTTGACATCCACGAGATGGCGACAAAAAATTTCTCTTTCGTGTTGAGTCGATCACCGAAGGCGATGCCGGCGGTGCAGAGTATGCGTATAATGGAAGAGACAACAATGCAGGTCACGCCTAGATAGACCACGTCGCCGTCCAATTCGTTTATCTGGGAAATGCAAAGAATTAAATTAAATAATTGAAACATAATTGAAAATTTATAAAATCAAGAAAAATAGTTAAATTATTTTATAATATTATATAATTATTATATACATACATATGTATGTATATGTGCATATAAATGTGTACCGAATTAAAAAACATTTTAAAATATATAAAAAAATTAAGTTGAAACTTTATTTTAAATAAAAATTCAAAACTAATTCTAGTAAAAAATATGATAATAATATATGAAAAACACACATACAACAGTTATACCTAAATATAAATATTAAAAATGTTTTAATACTTTTTTTACGAAAATAGTTTTTAAATAAAACCTACAAAAAAAATTATTGTTTCTTTCTATTATATACAGTATTGAAGAAAGCTGAAGCACCCTCTACTTTGTTTCTTTTATTATTTTAAATAAAATTTTTAAAGTTAAAATAAAATAATATGAATTAAAAATAAATATTTTTATGACAAATATGATAATAATATAATACATAAAAAATACATACCAGTTGTATTTTAAAAATATACATATTAAAAATTTGTTTATACTTTTTTTATGAAAGTAGCTTTTAAATAAAACCTAAAAAAAAGTATTGTTTTTCTATTATATACAGTATTGGATAGAGCTAAAGCACTCTAATTTTTTTGCTTTATTTTGAATAAAGTTTTTAAATTAAAATAAAAAAAATATTTTTATGCAAAATGCAAAAAAAAAATGTAAATATAATATTTTTTGTAATATAATTTTTTATACAATAAAAGAATTTAAAAAAATGCTTTCAAATATATAAAAAAAGTGAATTAAAATTTAACTCTGATTTTTTTCTTTTGCTTTACTTTTCAACAATACTATTTTGAAAACTATAAATATTTAAAATTATTTTTATTTTTAAAATATTTTAAAATATTTTTATAAAATTGAACAAGCAAAATGATTTGGTTAGCATGAATTTACACCCATTTCTAACTTGAATTCCAAAAAAAAGTCTGGTAGTTTATTATTTAAGTTTAAATAAAAATATATAAAATGTATAAAGCCACATTCTAAAAAAAATAATAAAAAAATTGTATCACAATTATTAAAAAATGTTCAGCATTTTATTATATTTTATATATATATTACTTTTTTTACTTTTTTTAAATAGTTTTTTATTATTATTTTATTTAGTTATTATTTTTATTATATTTAATTTTTATTTTTTGTATTTTTTTATTGTTTTTTTATTTATTTTTATTTTTTATTATATTTTTTTATATTATTTTTATTTTTTATTATTTTTTTTTTTAATTTAAATTTTTTATTCTTTTTTTTATAATTTAAATTTTTTTATAGTTTTTTCTAATAATTTTTTTTACAATTCCTTTCGTTTTTTTTTTTTGTCTTAATTATTATTAGTTTTTTATTATTAATATATTTATTTAAAATATTTTTTAGTGACAGATTTTAATGTAATATTAAAACAACAAATAAAAGAAAAAATTCGGTTAGTTGAAATACATATTCACGCATAAATAAAATAGAAGTTAGATTAATTTTGTAACTCCAAAAATTTTTAAAATATAGATTTTATTAAAAAACTACTGAAAAAAAATAGTAATAGAAATTTTAAAAGTATAAAAATATGAATTAAAAAAATGTAAAAATATTAGTTTTTATCTTTGGTCATACAACTTTAAGTAACTTAAAAATTAATAATTTTCAATTAAATAAACTACAAATGTGTAGAATAAAAAAAATTTTTTAACAATCTAAAACAACTAAAAATTCAATGACGTCACATTCCACTCACCTTAATCGTTGCACCGGTGATGCCAAATAATATCGGCTCGAATATCATCCAAATAATTTCGAATGCTGTCCCCACCGGATTATCGTCCACCTCCCAGCCTTGCTTGCACCAAAAAAGGTTCGATGTAAATGCTGCAAAGACGACAGCCAACGGACCGGCGCCTTCATATTCCAACCTTTCACTGCCGTAAATCGCAACTAAGCCACCAACAAACAAAAGTATGGAACGCAACGGCACAACATATTCATCACCCTTCTCGGGAAAAAATCTCGCCATATAACCCCACATCACACCGAACGCCAAACCGCCAACGATACAAATCGGCGCTTGTGATATTTGAAAGGCCAGACCACGATCCGAAAACAGTACGCTACTTATAATACCGAAGAGTGCTACTGAAAGCGCATCGTCGATACCCGACACGGCGATAATTAATGTGGGTATACCTTTGGCCACACCATAACCCTTTGAGCGCAGTCGGAAGAGACATGGCACTACAACGGCCGGCGAGACGGCAGCAATAACCGAACCCATGAGGAATGACCAAATCCAGGGCAAGTCCAAGATGAAATGTGTTGTGAGTGAAATGACGATCGCTTCCATGAACCATGGAATGACGCCAAGTTTCAATATGGTTTTGTAGACCTTACGAAAAGCTTCCGGTTCCATTTCGAGTCCAGCTCGAATAAGTATAATGGTGAGCGCAAATTTGCGCAAATGCGCTGTGACCTGTGAGAAATCGCCATCCAAGTGGACCCAGCCAACATTCTGAAAATATGAAAAAAATATGTATTTGTTGAAAGGATGCTCAATATTGTGTACAAGATAGTTAAGAGCGGAATGCTAAACACTTAGAAGTTACGTAATTTAAAACTCAACTTAATTTTGAGACAACGTGGACAAATATAAGGCAAGTTAATGTGATTTAAGAATATAACAGACGTACGCTGGAGAAGAGGTGCAGTGTGCTTTTTCGCGAATGTGTCGAAGCTTAGGGGAAAGGTAAAAGGGGGAGTCTTCTGTCGAGGTCTTTCCTTCAACTCTGCTTTCAGGCTACCAGACTACTTCTGTGACTTCCAAACGGAGGTGACTGCTAATAAGGTAGCAGTAGATGAACTGTTGCGAAGGACGGGTCGATACTCCGCTGCTTTCTTGCGCTCTAGCGTTTGAACAGCGAACCTCCCGTGAGCTTGGCAGGCGCTGGTCAATGCTACGGGATCTACTGACCCAAAGTAAAAGCCAAGAGGTCCTCTAAAATACTTCATCTCACCGTCATGGTAAACTTCTTCCCAACTGTCCAGCTTTCGCCAGAGTGAGGTGGAAACATCTCTGTAGACAAACTTTCGGCGAACCTGGAGAAATTGCTGGTATTGATACCAGCCGCTTTAACAAATTTGTGGTAGGCTCAATGAGCTTCGTTGATCTATAAAGGTCTTTTGATTTATATCTAGGAGTTTTGGAAATCGCAAAGAACCAGCGTTCACAGCTGTATAAGTAGGATCCTGCATTATCTTTGGCGCGAGGATCAGCCCTATGACCTTACATAACCTAAAGAAGACGGACGACAATATAACTAAAAAGCCGAAGGACGAAAACCACTTGTTCAGGGGTTTCAAGAGAAAGAAAAATATCTAGACTGAATAAGATCCTATTTATATGCAATATTATTCGCCATTGCTTGCTGGCTGTAGAACTTTCGCTTCGAGTGATGGGAGTGACAATTGTGTTTATGTTAAACGTTTTTTGTTGAAGCAAAAGAGATCTGAATTAAAAGTAGATTTTTGGAAGCTTGAGCATACATTTAGACCACCCTATATTTTTTTCAATCACTAAATAGTTTTGCATTATTTCCGCGCTTTATAGGTTAGAACTGGAATCATGTTATTACAGTAGAGTCACGCCAGTTGTTTTCTTAGTAATTGGCCTCAGATGCTTAGAATGTAATTAATTCTTCTGTCTAGAACAGAGTCAACTTTCTAAGCCATATTTTTTTTTTATTTACACAACGGCAAAGTTAACGATGATAACCGATCCGGTCTTGACAGTCAACAATCAAATTATTAAAGCGCTCATTATTGTTGTTGTCAAACTTTGATAAAGCCTACACAATGTCGAAAAAAAGAAACATTCTAATTATTCAAATAAATTCCCAGAATATATTGTATACACACAGACAGGCATGTTTACTCACATACATAAATGCATACATACATTCATATGTATAAATACACATGCTTGTATTGTAATTACCATATCATTCGTGATTGTTTGTGCTAGCAAAACGGAGATAAAAAAGTCGGAAAAAAAACATATTTGAAATACAAATTAGTTTGAGTAGTTGTGTCGGAGTACTGTGCCGTTGTTTGCACTTACGCCTGCGCCGCTTTTCAAATTTGATTGTTTGTATGTGTATATGTAACATAAATACATATTGTACTACAGTAGCTTACATGCATGCATACATACATACATACATACGTACCTACATGTATAGAAATTGCATACGAAGCCATACGCTTCACTCACCTGAAATAATATGCCTACGATCAGCATACCAATGAGCCGCGGCAATGTCGTCAATGATATTAGCCAACCGCCGAAATTAGCCGCCACCGTCAGTACAACCAAATTGAAGAGTTGACCTCCTGGTGCAGCTGAATCGCCAATGATTACATAAGCCGTGAACCAGATGAGTATACCTGCACGCATAAAACATAAATTTATTTGTTGAAAATACTTTTTTTTTAGAAAACAATGACATTTAAAAAATTTCTTTTTTAGGAAAAATGTTCAAGAAAAAATTATAAATATTTTACAATTTAATTATATTTACTAAAATAAACATTAATAATTTTTAGAATAAATTATATTTAAAAAACAAAGAAAGAATTTGCAAAATTACATATTTTTTTCTAATTTAGTGTGTTTTTATTATTTATAAAAATCTATGTATTTTTGTAATACTTGTACAATACATTGAATATTTAATATCATTAAATAATTTTTTAATAATTTAATTTTGTTTTAATTTAATTTTTTTTTTTTATTATATGTTTTAACATATCATTTATGTTGTTAAACAACTTTTTTTAAGTTGAAACTGTATTATTTTTAAAAAAAATTGTGTTTTTTTTTAGAAAAAAACTATTATTTTTAGATAAAAAGTCGGTGGAAAAAGTTAGAAAAAAAAATAATTTTTAGGAAAAAAATTACATTATTTTTGAAAAAAAAGTATAATAATTTTGAAAAAAAAATACAAAATATTTGGAAAAAAAATATTTTTTTCATGCATACATAAAATAAAAATAAAAAATAAATTTTTTAGTAATTTTTTGTTAATGTAACTTTTGAATTATTTAAAAAAATAGCATTTTTATAATAATATTTTATATGTATATGTATATTTCTTTAATTTTTTAAATTTTTTCAATTGCTTATTCATTTTATAGTAATTTAATTTATTTATTACTTTCTTTCAACAAATTATTTAATGTTTTTTTTAGGAAACAATTTTTATATTATTGTTTTAAAATTATAAATGTTTAAATTTTTTTAAAATTATTTACCATATTTTTTTAAATATTAACCAATTTCGCTTTTAATTAAATTCTATTATTTATTTATATTATTTTTTTAAATATTAATCAATTTTGCTTTTAATTAAATTCTATTATTTATTGCTTTGTTTAAATAAATTCGTTTTGTTGAAAAATTGTTTTTGTTAGTTATTTTTTCTTTCATTAGAATTTAACTTTTTAATAACTTTAATAGTAAAAAAAACTATTTTTAAAGACATTCGTAATATTATATATGCATATGTTTTATTATTTGTTTTAACCAATTATGTTGTTAAAGCTGTTTTAAATTTGAAGCTTTAGGCGCATGAGTTATATATGTTTATTTTTAGAACTTTTATATTTATAGTTCAAAAAAAATTTTTTTTTTAATTTTCCCATAGGATAAAATATTTTTTTTTTATTTTTTTCATGAAAATTACAAAACAAAATCTAATATAATTTTTTTTTTATTTTTTTTTTTGTTTATATCAATTTTTTTCAACTTAATTTTTTTATAAATCTTTTAAACACTATATGTTTTTATATTTTTTGTTAATAAATCAAATTTTTGTATTTGAGCCGCATAAATTTCTTGTTTTGTTTCAAATATTATTTTGTTCATAATATACCTTAATTATTATTTAAATCAAAAAATGCATTTCTTTATTTTGGTGCTTGCATTATTTTTCATAATTTTTTAATAATAAGTTTTAGTTGATTATTTTTTCTAATTTAGTATTTTTTTTTTTATTATTTTAAAATTTTATGTTTTTTTTAATTTTTTTTATTTCTTTTTAATATTTTTTTTTTGTTTATAAAATTAAAACTTTTACATTTGACCAATATAATTTTTTTATAATTTGTTTTAAATATTAATTATTATATTTAATGTAATTTTATTACATTTTATTCGTATTATATTTATGACATTCTTCGGCTTCTTTAAAATAAAAAAAATTGTGAGTTCCTAATGTATTTTTAATACTTTTTTGTTTAAATTTTTTTATTAGGTGGTTTTTTTTATTTATTTATAATTATTATATTAATTTAGATTATCTTTTATAGATTTTAATTTCTAAAATATTTTTATTTTCAATTGAAACTACAATTGATTAATTTATTTTTTATTTAAATTAAAAAGCTTATATTATTTTAATTTTATCGATTGTTATATTTCTGTTTGATTAGATTTTTAATAATTTTTGTTATTCAATTTTCACATTAAGTTAAATTATGTATTGTATTTCATTACTCACCGATTACTATGAGCACGAGTAGACGTGCAAATTGTCGAAACGATGGGCACAATGGGTAGGGACAAATTTTTTGCCAATAGGGTGGCTCCCAAGACGGCCGATTTTCTTCGCCATGGCATTTTAAACAGAACGAATAAATCCACGACTCCTCCAGCTTATTACTCTGTCCATAGAGAGCTTGCTCTTGTTGGTGCTGATAAATTTTCGCATTCAGATTGTCGAGCGCTGATGATCTATAGGGTCGACTGTTGTCGCCTGTGTGGGGTAATAAAAGAGAAAAATGGTGAGTGTGTGCATTTTTTGTTTTAGAATGTGAGCTCTTGTCGATTAATTAACAGAAATTTGGTTAGGAGTGAAATTTTGAAACTGTCAAAAGTAGCTAAAGTGACGTCATTACTACTCTGGTACTCTGTATTAGTACACAATTATTTTGGTGAAGTGTCGCCTCTTCAGAACAACCAAAACTTCAAAACATTTTTTTTTGTTTAAATCGTCCATTTTTCATTGCAATAATTTGATATTTTCATTTACAACAATAACGCAGGCAGCAATAATTTCTAAGGTTTGGTAGGTCAGTAAATTGTTTTTATACTCTTGCAACATGTTGCTACAGAGTATAAAAGTTTTGTTCACCTAACGGTTGTTTGTATCACCTAAAAATAATCGAGTTAGATACTAGGATTTTATATATAATATATAAACGATCAGGATGAAGAGACGAGTTGAAATCCGGGTGACTGTCTGTCCGTCTGTGCAAGCGATAACTTGAATAAAAATTAAGATATTGTGACGAAACTTTGTGTATATGTATCTAAGCAAAAAAGTAAGCACGAGCTCGTGGATGGGCGTAATCGGACCACTGCCATGTACAAACAACACATTAAAGAGGGGCACCTGCGGTTTGAAAATCTTTAAAAAGTGGGCGTGACCCCGCCCTTCAATAACTTTAATGTATATATCTTCCAAACCAATATAGCTATATCACCCAAATTTACACAAGACACATTTTTTCAATCTTTCTTACGACAGCGTGAAAATCAGTGAAATCGGATTAAGTCCCGGCCACTCCCCATATAACTGTTTTGTTAAAAACTACTAAAAGTGTGATAAATCAATAAATAAATGCATCAGTACAAGAGTGCTTTATAGGAGCCGGTATCAAAATTGGACGATGGGCGTGGCTCCGCCCCTTTTTAAATGAAATCACATATCTCGGAAGCTGCTCGACCGTTTTCAACGAAATTTGGTATATAAGATTATTTTGACATTCCCATATAACAGTTCAAAAATGCGCGAAATCGGACAGCAACCACACCTACTTTCCATATAACACAATTTTAAACTCTGATTTTTTCACTTTCCAGTATATCAAGCACGATATAATATATCGGAATAAAAATTTGCACGAATATTTTCTTTCTTCTAATCTCAGCTCTAAAAATTTTTAAAATCGTACCATAACTATTCAAGCCCCCAGATACCGGAAATGTGGACCCCACAGCCTATGGCTGACTTTTTGCCGAAAATATCGATCGATTTGTGATATATGTAGTTGAATTTCGGTGAAAATGTTTTTTTGATAATAATATACACTTGTGTCAAAATTGGCTTGAATCAGATAAATACTTTCCTTAGCGCCCATATACCTAATACAAAGATTTTCGAACTTCCAGTTGACAATGTGCTAGTTATTTTATTGAAATTGAGAAAGCATGTTTTCTAATAAGTAAGTAATAATCAGTGTACCTTTGTGTTTAAAATGGATCAAATCGGACGAAAACTTACCTTAACCCTCATATAACTGATATATTATATATTTACGATTTTAAAACGTTCGACTGACTTTGATCTATATTAAAGTTTATATTTACATATTTATAAAATGATATAAAGGTCTCAAGCACCTATAACTGTGCAATGTCAAAAATTAATGCAATCAACCCTTTCATTTCTATGCCCTCAATGGTTTTAGTATTGTATAAATTGTGCTGACGGGAAGTAAAATAGAATATAATATTAAAACTAATTGAGTCTATGATCTTCAAAATACGTTAATATGATACCAAATTTGATTGTAATCCATTCGCCATTTGGTCGGACAATGAAGTTGAACCATTTCGCTACATTTCTTAATATAAAGTTTTGCCAACACCTGAAGATGTTTCAGCGGTCTTGCTCCTTGCAAGTGTATAAAATGTTCGGTTACACCCGAACTTAGCGCTTCCTCTTACTTGTTTCATTTGTGTTTTCAGCCTTGTCGGCAATTGAGTCAAAATAAGCGATCAGCTATGGTGCTTACCTACATATGAGTACACGGCAAAGATTGTTGTCGTGTGCACACATAAGTATTTAATGCGAGATATGAGTAATCAGCGATAGCGTAGTTAATAATTTATAGTGGGGATCGCCCGCTTGTTTAGATAGGGATAGCGTTAAAATATTTAAAGTTATAAATAATACTTGCAATTCTTTGATTGCAGTCTTTTAAGCTTGCTATCTTTGAACTCTGCTCTCTTGTTATATAATTTAAAATATTATATATTTATGCAATTGAATTAAATATAATAGAGCAAGTGTGTACTACTTTAAAATTGGTATTATATTTATATTTGATTATGACGCTCTTGTTGATTTAAGCCAGTTACTTATTCGTTTCGCTATTCTCTAATGTTTGACAAATCGAATACAGCTGTTATTAAAGTTAAATAAATATAATTATAAGATTACAGAGGGCTATAAATTGTTAAAAACAATTGCCTGAGAAAAGAGTATATCTAAGATTTCACTAAAAAATTTGATTTAACGTTTAGTCGATCTTGGCTTAGCTTTCGTATAAAATTAGCGACATTAGCAGTTTCTAGCTTATATATAGATTAAGAGCAGTTTTTCGAATTAAGTAAGTGGTATTAGTTCGTTTTCTTAACTCCCCAAAAAGTCGAAATTATTTAAAGGATTATAATAAGGTTTAATGAAGCATTTCACACAGGGAGTCTCAGAATATTTGGTACATGAAAGTCTATAACTTGAAAAACCGTCGAAATCAAATTTAAACTTTACGAGCATTATCGTCTCGCAAGCAGAGAACGTGGAAATCACAGAAGGCGCGAAAGAAGTTATACTATTTAGCAAGACCATCAGTTTTTCAGTAGACAATTAAATGGCACTATAGTCGATTGGAAATTTGCAGTGACGAATAAGATCAAAAGAAAAGAATTTAAAGTTTTTAAAATCGTTGATTTATTTTGAAAAATTTTGGTTTCGTTCGATCCCTTGCCCGATCTCCAGGAGGGTTTCTTGTGAGGAAGATTTTTCTGCTTAAAATTATCTCAAATTCAAAAACTAAAAATTTTTGTTATTACTATAGATACTAATTTTTTATTTTTTATTAATACAGATAATGATCGAAGGATTAGTCAAAATTTTTATTTTTCACAAAATGAGGGCTTCCTAGAAAAAGTCGTTTTTTGTGAAAAAATTTAGACCTATATCTCAGAATGGCTCAAAGTTGAAATTGTTATCTAAAACTGGTTCCTTTATTCATTACTTGACAAATATATATTTAACAAGGCCGTGAGTGAGTATCAAGTTTATCCGTTTCGGAGAAATCCTCCAACTTAGAAAAAGCATCTAAAAAAAAAAATTTTTAATTTAGAAAGCTGATCGCACCAAGTAAAAAAATTCTTACAAATACTCAACTTCAAAATTTGAGAGACTATTTTCATATAAATATACATTTGATATCTAAACAAAAAAAATTAATTTTTGGGAAATTAAAAAGTGAAATTCATTGTAGAGTTGTTATACTAGTGCAAATTCTTAGAGCAGTTTTGACAAATTTCTTCGATTTAACAGCGATTTCGTTTGCCGAGACCAACTCACACCCAAGCAAGCATTTTATTTGACTATAGACATTAGGGTGGAGCGAAAAAAAATTTTTTTGCTTAGCCTGAGGGTAAAAATTGTAGATTATAAAAAAAAATTTTTGAAAAAAAAAATCTTTTTTAACATCTAGAGGCGGCTCATATTTAAAGTCAATTTCAAGTTAAAATTTTTTTTCGGAAATTTATTGATAAGTGTTCTAGAATTGTCTGTCGTGGAGAGTCCTCTTTCTGGCCAATTAAAAGTTATCAACCTAAAAAAAAATTTTGTGGTCATTATTGAAGTTTAAAACAAAGTCTTAAACGACACATGCTTTCCTTAAGCGTTAACATAAAATTTGAGTCAAAATTCGGTAGTTTAAATGTGAACCAAAAAAAAATTATTTTTGTCCAAGAAAATTTTAACTCGAAATTTACTTTAAAAGTAAGTGCCTAGATGAGCCTCTAGATATTAAAAAAAAAAAATTTTTCCAAGTCTTTCTTTTTTTATAATCTACAAATTTTATCCTCAGACTAAGCAAAAAAAAAACAATTTTTTTCGCTCCAGCATAAAAGACATACTTGCAACCGATCTCAGGTGCAGATTTGAATTATTTTAAAATGTAAGCCAAGCTTAAGCTAACATAATCTCAATTGTTTTTAGAAAGTTGTATTCATATGAAGATACCCATTGTTGTGTATCACGTGTGCTCCAAAAAACTTATTTTTCTTATTTTTTCTGAACACGCACCGCCCATCCAAACTTTTCCACACAACCGCCCATGTTTACTCCAGTCTAGTCATTGTTAAATATTTAACAAAATTAAAACAATCAATTAGTCCCATGCATATCATATGAATAGTCTTAACAAAAAACACGCGACGATCATAAAAAACCCAAAATAATTAACAAAAAGTAAATTTCAGTAACAGTAATTCTTGGGCAACTAACATCAAAAGAAACAATTAAATAAAATAAACAGAAAAAAGGGATAAGATAAACAACAACCAAAAACGAAAAAATCCAAATGAAAATGTAAACAAATAGGCAACAACAAGAACAAAAAATCTTCTAATAAAAATGTAAACTCTATAGCAACAACAAAAACGTTAACTTTGTATGACCAAAATTAAAAAAACTCTTCACAGGAAACTTTATTTTGATCGGGCAGTTTGTAGCTGCCTTACAAACTATGCTATAGTGGTCTGATCTGAACAATTTTTCGAAGATTGTGGCGTTGTCTTGGACAATAATCTGTATCGAATTTCGCGAAAATATCTCGTCAAATAAAAAAGTTTTTCATATAAGGTTTTGATTTTGATTTTTCAGTTTGTATAAGAGCTACTTGATATAGTGTTCCAATCTGAACAATTTCTTCGGAGTTTATAGCGTTTCTTCGAAAAATAATCTGTAACAAATTTGGGAAAGATATCTTCTCAAAGAAAAAAAGTTTCCATACAAGAAATTTATTGTGATCGATCAGTTTGTATGGCTATAGTTCTCCAATATCGGTGGTTTCGGCAAATGGGCAGCTTTTTGGGGAGAAAACGACGTGTGCAAAATTTTAGATCGATATCTGTAAAACTAAGGGTTTAGTTCGCATATATGTACAGGCAGACGTCAAAACCGAAATATCATTTAAGCAGCACATTTCCGGCGGATGCCAAAGACAGGGCGCAAGTTGTTTATATATCTACTTAAGTATATGCATGAAGGTAGAAGTGCTACGGCTAGCAGATAATGCGCCCCTATGAGTGATCATTAATCGCACTGGACTACTTTGTTAAGAACTCGGCATAGATAAACAAACACATGAAAATATCGTGCGCACGACACGTTAATCTGTGTGCAAAAGCTCGCCATTAGTAATTTTATATTCCATATTTTTCATTTTTATGTATGTATATTGATTTATTTAATTTTTTTCAACTTATTTGCAAACTATTAAATATGTGGATAACGCAAATCACGTGCTTATCGCTAGCCAGCCACGGTAGCCTTAGAAGCGTGAAGTATGCAAACATGTGAACATTTGTACACAGTCACAATGAATTGAAAGCGCCTATTTGTATATACTTGTATGTATGTATGTATGTAATTATGTAGCGACTTATGGCAATTAATAATTGTTTTTTATTAAAAAAAAATTTTAATAAATAAAAATAAAATACATATGAATGTAGATATGAGAAATAACTACAGGTCATCTCATTACAAGTATGAATAAGTTTTTGTTTTTTCTTAATAATTATCTTGATTTCAAGGAATATATGTCAGTTTGGGTAAAACTTTTCTATTACCTTTATGCCTTTAAATCAAGTTTTCTTTCAGAAGCGCCGTCTGTTTGCATTTTCGTCGCATGAAGTATATCCATACATATTATGGATCGAAATACACAAAGAATCGATTTGTGTCTATTTAGATCGTTTAATATGGTTCGAACTTAAAAAAAAACAAAGGAAACGAACGGCACGATTCGGGTTTAGAAACCCGAATTTTAGGCTCTTTTTCGAACCCCATAAAAAAAAAAAAACAACAAGTATTTTTATCATACATTTTTACATTGTTTTTATTGATATTTAAGTAAGAGTATAAATCATTTATAATATTAAAAAAAAAAAGGTTTCAAAAAATTCCAGGCCGGCAAAGTGGGGACTACTAAAAAATGGCGTGTCCTGGTGAGCAGGATATCAGGACGCCCAGCAATCCGAAATAAAAATTGTTGAGTGATCCTTAAAAAAGAAGGATGTAGTTATAGCACTACGAGCGGATTTTGGAAAAAAAATTTTGGAAAATAATGTTTCGTTATTTCCCTGTTTTTTTGCCGCTTGGAATTTTTTAAATATAAAAAAACAAAAATCCCCTCGTAGTGCAGTATAATAGTATAATTTATACAGAAGCTCTGTATAAAATTTCAAGAACTTGAGATATCATGCACACCGTTTCTAAAAGAATAGTTTAGTTTCAGGCGCATCACAAAATGAGCTGTAACTACGAAAATAATTGAAATTTCGATGTTTTTAAATTTCTAAACCAAAAGATAAGGGGGTCTTTTCTCAACTAAATGTGTAATTCTTAAACGGTTAATGAAATATTCTCTATCCTATATCATTAATGTTTGTGCTGAATTTTTTACGCTTAATAACATACAAGTATAATAGAGATAAGAAAAAACTACCAATTATGTCGTTAGAAAAAGGAAAAGTGAGAAAAATAACATAAGAAAGTGTGAATTGTAAACAAAAACATGAACACTTTTGAAAACTGCTGATATAAATCTCTTTTATGACTTTATTTCTCTCGAGCAAAAACCAAAACAAAAATAACAACGTTAACATGGGCTGCAAGCCACCCATATACGAGGGGAGTATTAATCATCAAAAATCGCTTTATTGTTTTTTAAAATATTCTCCACTCAAATCTATGCAATTTTGTATGCGTTTGAACAAATTTTCGAAGCACTTTTGACACTCTGATTGAGGTGTCTCTAAAACATGCGTTCTGAACGCATTAACCGCCTCCTCAGTTGTCCAAAAACGTTGACTTTTTAGTTTATTTTTTACTCACGCGAATAAAAAGAAGTCATTTGGTGACAAGTCAGGACCATGCGGTAGAGCACGCATTGTCGCGGTGAAGAGTGATCCGTCTTCGGCAGTTGGTTTTCCTGATTTCTTGAAAAACAACTGACAAACAAATGGTTACGTACCACGCAGTATTTACTGTTCTACGTTGTTCTAGTGGTATGGTTGCGATATGTCCAGTTTTTCCAAAAAAGACAAGCAAACAAAAAATAATCGCGCGAAAATGTTCGCGATTAAATTCCATATTTTGGCCGAGGGGGAGTTCTTAAGTTACTCTAAACAATACATATAGCATTGATATGTCAAAACGTTCTGAACATCAAAAATGTCAAACTTTACGATAAAGTTCTGAGTTGCCAGCTTGCAGCACTAGGGTTGTCAAATCACGAAACATAAAAGGCAACCTACATGCCACAGATTCCATACTAGAACTTGATTTTGATCGGTCGATTTGTATGACAGTTTTATGCTATAGAAGTACGGTATAAATGAACAGCTTCTTGGCAAAAAAAGAATGTGTGCAAAATTTCAAAGCGATATCTCAAAAATCCTAACATAAGTTTCAACTATTAAAATATCAATAAAAGTTTATGCATAATTGTTTCAAACTAGATTTAATTCTAGGCTCCAATTGAACTACTAAGTTGTTTGATCGTTATCATTAAAAACTGTCAATCAATCAACACTCCTGCAACGAATTTGCCCTTCCGCTTCTGTATTAAAAATAATGGGTCATTCACGGCAATCAAACAATAGGCGCATGTGGCTTATTAAACAATTGAGTCCAGTCGAAAATTTTAAGATAATTACTATGCAAGACACTTATCGTGTAAGCACATAATTTGACGGCTGCCACAACTGACGTGACTGTCGGTGGCAATTACATACAAACATTTGTATAATTGAATTTGCACAAATGATCCAGAGAAGCGTCCAGTGGCTCGTCGATCAGTGATCTTTAATCTGATAAATCATTATTGTTGAATAAGTTTTTTGCACTTATTGTGCTTATTGTTGTTTTTGCTTACTTATTTTAATGCAAATATATTTGAAAATGATTTCATCGCCACTTAGCACACAGTTAAAGGGTGATAAAAAGTGGGGAAAATATACAAAAATAAATGTGTTAAATTAAATGCAAAGATCATTACGCAAAATTCGTGTTCAATTAACAGCAAATTTGTTAAAATTATTTGTTATATTTCTTTTTTAATTTTTTTGGTAAATTTTTTTTATATTTTAAAAATTTTTTCTTAAAATGCCTGCCGCTCAGCTTTCTTCCTTTCGCTCAATTAATTGTAGGTTATGCTTTGTAAACTTACCACAGCTGTGTAGTGATCCTCGATCGGATTCATTATCATGTGTGTTGGGTGGAGGTAACGGTGCTATATTGGTTGACGAATTCACCAATATACTCTTTCTTCGTGTGGGTCCAAATTCTGTGTGTGAATGTGTGGAAGTCTGAAATATTGGCAATAAAATAACACATGTTTTTAATTACTGGTAAAAAACATCGAATACAACAACAAAAAGCGGAAAAAATTAAATCGATAAAGTCGTTGGAATTTCATAATTTATTACAGTGGTTTTTACCAAGTGCTGGTAATTTCTATTTGGAAGCATAAAGTGAATTTTTTTAAGCTATAAATTAGGTAGATTATTTTATGAAATAAAGATAAGAAGAAAAATTTTAATTAACAACTACTTTAACAAACTTATTCTGCTTTGACCTTCGGTCTCAAGATATTTCAGTACCTTTTAAATTCAAAACAAACGTTAACTTCGGCGGCATCGAAGCTATAATATACTTCACAGGCGCATTTATTATAGTATTAAAGAGTATAAAAAGATATTTATCTTGATTTTGATGGGTCAGTTTGTATGACAGCTATATGTTGCAGTGGTTCAATTTGAACAATTTGTTTGGAGATTGTAGCGCTATTATGCATGGTAATCTACATTAAATTTCATGAGCATACCTTATCAAATAAAAAAGTTTTCTATACAAGAACTTAATTTTGATCGATCAGTTTGTAGGACAGCGATTTGCTGGACGTGTGCAAAATGTCAGATCGATATCTAGAAAATGATGAACTAAATTGGACACACTGCTCACGCTGGTCATTTATATATATACTTTATAGGGTCTCGACGTTTTTTTATGGTTCTTACAAACTTCATAGAAAACTTTATACACGCTTGTTCAGGGTGTTAAAAATGCAAATTATATATTTATTTGTGTTTCCTTCAAGAATCTTACTTTACAGATAAATTAAATTTAATTTTCTAAAAGTCATTAAGGTTATTAATCTATGCTTAAATTTTGTGCAAAAATCTCAATTTTTCTCACAAGCAAGGTAACCATAACAACTCTCGAAGTACAAACATTTGTATCATATCACTGTCAGTATGCGACACCATTATCAGGACTGTAGTGGATAAAACAGAACCCAAAGTAGTGGATCTACAGGAAGATGCTTCTATAAAATAGAGAAAATTACGTTTGGTGGTAGAAAATAAAAATATTATCAGCTGTTGAGGCTTGAGTTCAAATAGGTTCCATCAAGTTCGAGGGGAAGTGTGATAGCTGAAAAGGCTATTTAAGTATAGAAGAAAAATAAAAGAAAAATCGAAGTCTTTATATATGGTAGATTCATGTCGAAGTCTTCATATAGATTCGTAGGGTCATCTAAAGTCTAAGAAACCCACTGATTATGCTGTCGAACTTACAAAGCTGAAAGCGTTACTGCTTAAACCAAAACAGAAAGATTCCAGCCTTTTTCTCTCAGGATTTCTCACTCTACTCAATCTCTTCTTTTCACTCATTGAACCTTCTGCCACTCGCAGTAGTTCAAAAGAGCCATTTTTTATGTGATTGCAAGATCAGATTTTTCTTATTACCCCAGTAAAAGGTAGTGTCTCGCTATTTAATAAGCTACCATAAAATATAGACATCTTATCTCATAGAAATGCTTAAAATGTCTGACAACTAGCAAGAGAAGAACTGCAGCCCAATTTGAAGCATGTTAACAAGCAGCACCAACATGAATTCACATCAAAAATATCACACCACATAAAGTTTTGTAGTGCCTTCGTCTAGTAGGAAAATTTTAGTACAGGTACGCAACGATAACATTTTTTTTTATAGTACTTAACATAGCAATAATGCCTAATGCTACTCAACGTTGCCTACCTTGACTAAGGTATTAAAAAATTAGTCTGATTAAAGCAATCAAATAAACCAATAAACCAAATTCACCACAGTAATAATAAAGATTTGATTTACAATGTTTACACAGTGATTTACAATCCATATAAAAAAAACTATGGACGTTAGTCATGCTTCGACAATTCATTGTCACATAAAAACACCTACGACAAATAAATGTAAATATGTATACCTTAAATGGGTCTTTATAGCTTTATGGAAAATCCTAAGGGTTTAGTAGCATTGCTTATTGAACGCATTTAAAATTGTTAATGTTGATACTTTTAGGTATATTATTATACCATAAATCGAATCGTGCAAGCAACTGGTATAAAGCAAACAGACTGGCATAATCAAACGGAGATATAATAGCAAGCAATTATAGAATTCCTATTAGGTAGCTACATACTAGCTTAGGTATATTGATTTCAATATGAACGCGTTTATTCAGAGTCTTAAATGATCGGTATTGGAACATTATCACTCAAACAAATGAATACAAGTATCTACTTAATTAATTAAGGGATTAGGCCAATTTAAAGCGCTTAAAACATCTTACTTTTTCTAATTTATTTTGCGAGTAAGAAAACGAATTTCTCTCTTACAGGTTTTAAACAACTTTAAACATGAATTTAAATATATAAAAAAAATTTATATTGATTATTAATGAGGTTAAATTTTTGATGGAAAAATTTAGCGGTAAATTGTTTACACTAAAGTTGCAATATTAAGTAAGAATTGATCATCGTTTACTAAATAATTCTTTATTTTGACGATTGAATAATATTTTTACAACCCTAACGTGAACTTTAAAATGTGTCTGGCGCTATTGCACCGTAGCTTTTGTGCAAATGTAGTTGCCGTACCAAAACATATCTCAAATATGGCAAAAATCGAACCATGAATACGATTTTTAGCAATTCCACCTATGTTATAGACCTTTATAGTTTGAAAAAAAAAATTCGAAATGGGTTCAATTGGTACTTTTTCGATTCGATTTCCATTTTTTTTATTAAATTGTGTGTTTTATAATATAGTTTTCTAAGTGTACTCTATATTTTATTTATTATTACTATTTTTTAAATTTAAGAGGTTTAATGTACATATCTCCCAAACTACTAAAGCTAAATCAACAAATATTGCTCAGTACAAGGGTTATAACCCCGCCCACTCCCCATATAATGGTTATGTTGAAATTAATAAAAGTCTGATACCCAGTATTAAAACTTGAACAATTGAACATTTAAGTGAAATTTCATATCTCAGGAAATGCTCGAACAATTTCAACCAAAACAGTTTGAAACTACTACGTCTACTTCCCATATAACACTATTTTAAATTTCATCTAATTCTTTCACTTTTCAGTGTACAAATCATTCACCAATGAATATATATAGGGATAAAACTTTGCACAAATTGTGATTTTAAGCAGCGCTATCTCATAAACAAAAAGATCGGACTACAACTGTTCAAGCGTCCAGATACCGAATATGTGAACCCCAGTGTTAATTGTTAACTTTTTACCGAAATTATTCGTTAATCTGTTTCTCATATCATTGAACTACTGAGAGAATCCTTGCCAGACAATAGTATGTCTATATGTCAAAAATGGGTTGGAACGAGTCAAAACTTTCTTTAGTCCCCATGTACCTAATAGAAAGATTTTCGAACTTACGGCTGACTTTAACTGCATATATCGGTGAATATGTGAGTTATCTCAATAAAATTGTGAGAGCGTATTTTACTAATAATGGTGTATTTTTGTCTCCAAAATGGATAAAAAAAAGGTCTTAAGTGCATAAAATCGGGTAAAAACTTGAGCTAGGCCTCACATAAATAATATGAGAATTTTCAAACATCCGGTTGACTTTACTGCTTATATTATATATTATATTTATTAATGGTTTATGAGGTACCTTAATGAAACTTAGAGAGCATCTTTTTCTGTTAATTATATTTAGTAATGCCAAAGATAGATATAATTTGAGGAAAATTAATCGAAAATATAACACTGAATATACTACAGTGTAATGCCAAATATATGTGAAATCGGTACATGAATTACACCAGCTCCCATATATAACCTATAATGATTTTCGTTATTCCAGCAGACTGTGTGCCCAATATGTCGGTCAGTGTGTGAATTATCTTACTCAAATGAAAACATGTTCCCGAATATACTTGAGTTAAGTCCAGATCATTCCCGCGATGTAGTGATTTCCACTTTGACTTTGAACTTTAAAGCGTTTAATGTAATGTAGTTTAGCGCTGAATATGAATTAAATTAGTTCAGAACTTGCTCTAAATGTTATATCACTAACATAATGAATTCGGATCCTTTGGTTAACCTTTTCCACATCAACTCAATATGTTAAATTTAGCTTCTTTAGTAGAGTGTATATCACATATGTATATTTCATTTGATTTGATTTGATTTGATTTTAATATAATTTTCGTTGACACGAGGTAAAATTTAGTATTAGAACTGAGTGAATATATGATCTATAATATAAGTTAAAAAGATAGTATACGTATTTGATTGTAATCCATTCACGATTTCGTCACATAATGAATGTTGAAATCGCTCGCAAAATTTTTTAATATAAAATTTACCAGCAGCTAAACGTATTTCCTGGGCTTTGATTATTGCAAGTTGCAAGAATATAAAATGATCGGTTACACCCGAACTTAGCCTTTCCTCACTTGTTTTATAATCTATTTGAATCGCGAAAACATTTTTCTAACACTCAAAATTAATTTCTACTTCACAACCTCAAAATTAATTTTAAATTTCATAAGTAGATATTTCTTTCAAAACTTTCCAAATTCCCTCTTCCAACTTACCTGTGATATTTTGCGATGCGGATTTTGTTCATAAGCTGGATTATCATAGGCGCCAATGCTACGCGCCTCACTCGCCGGATCCGATACAATGCTAACTTTACGCTTCGGCTGACTATCGATAACAATGGTATTCTTATAGGTGCCGCTATTGCCGATATTATTGACCGCTGTATTGGACACAAGCGGTATAGCCAATGATATGCTCGAATTATTGTAATTCAACCCATTTGTAATGGTGCTATTATTGCCACTATGATTATTGATGTTGTTATTGCTGTTGTGCGTGAGAATGCCCGCATTCCCATCGCCGGCATGCGATATAATACTGCCATTCGCCTGGCCATTAACAAGGACATCTGGCACCGTTTCGGCGCGTTCATTCATATTTTTTGGATTCTGTAAGCAACCGAAATGAGCACAATCTGAGTTTAAGGCACTTGTAGTAATTGGTTTTTACATGCATATATATTTTATAATTTTTAATAATACAATATATTATATACATTTTTTTAATTTTTATATATTTTTCTTCAATAGAATTTGTGCCTTGAAGGCGCTTACACACTCATAAATTTATATATATTTTTATTTATTGTAATTCTTATATTCACGCACACACTTTACATTTTAATGCCTAATTTAATTTTTCTATGCGTTTTATGAACTTTATGATCTCATAATTATACAATTAACGACACTTTCCGAATAGGCGTGTGCAATTGTTCGATTTTAGACATTCAACACCCGCTAGCTATATTCACTTACAACGTGATAAATATTCGAACGCATCGCGAAACACTAAATACGAGCTTTTGTTTTTGTATGTTTCAATATCAATATGGTTTGCCGTTGCTCGCTACTCGTTATTCGTTGCAGTTTGTTGCAATCGTCGTAGTCGCGTCTTTGATCGTCGAGCGTTGATTGATTTTATGATCCGTTTCGTTCACCGTTTAATAGCGAAATGACATCGTCAATAATAATACGCTGTCGGTGTTGGTATAAATTTATAGCATCCCCAAGTTAACTAGTTGTGTTGGTATGTAAAAACTTCGTTCGTTAGCTTTGTCGCGTCGCCGGAAATTACTAATGTGAAGTATACAAGATATTAGTAATTTTATTCGATATCGAAATAAATTGGTTAATAGCAGAGAGTTCGAAAACAATAGCAAGTCAAATATAAAAACAAAATCTCAAAAATACAAAAAAAAAGTAGAAAAGAAAAACGTAGAGAAAAATACAAAAAAGAGAGAAAAAGTGATAAAAACAGACCAAAAAGAAATAAAATTAGAAAAACAAAAAGAAAACTGTAAAAAAAAAAGGCGGAAGAAGTAAAAATAAGAAATAGTTTAACTTCGCTTACACCGAAGCTATAATACGCTTCGCAGGTGCATTGCTTCTAACATAAAAGGGTACAAATATATTTTTATATTGATTGTGATCGATCTGTACAATTTGTTCAGAGACTGTAACGACCTCTTGGAATATATTCCACGCCAAATTTCGTGATTTCAAATAAAATCAAATTTTGTGAAAATATCTTTTTAAATAAGCAAGTAAAGAAAACTTGAGTTTTATGATGAGTTTGTATGATCTATGCTCTGTAGTGGTCTGATAGCGGTTGCACCGGCAAATTAGCAGCTTTTAGGAGATAAAAGAACGTGTGCAAAATTTCAAACCAATATCTCAAAAACTGAGGAAGTACTTCGCTATATATAGACAGATAGACGGGCATGACTAAATTGACTCAGCTGGTCACGCTCACTATTTATATATACATGTTATAGGGTCACAAAGAAGGAAACGTGACTCTGTGTGTTACAAACTTCGTGGCAAACTTAATATGCCATGTTCAGGGTATAACGAGTATAAAATTATAAAAACATAAAATGGCTAAAAGCAAAACACAAACCCGAGAGAAAACCCACCTTTTTTCAGAAAGTGTTAATACAATTACCTTTAATTTGCCTAATTTAGCGCTAACGTGTAACAGTTGTATGTCGCTCAGCTGATCAACACTGATTTTGGGCTACAGATTATCGAGTTTTGTGGTCATTAACCACAGAAATTAACGCCTCTGACGTTTTTAAGTTAATTAGCGCATTCGATTGGTCGATCTTCTGTACGTTTTCGCCGGTTACAGCTGTCTCTCTCCAAGTATTTTACTTGACTACACTCTCTTTGTTTTCTGTTTTTTTGACGTTTGGCATTTAATTCGTGCAATTAATTGTCGTGCGTTGTGTCTCTTCTTTTGTTAATGTTCACATTTTTTAAAATTTTTGTTAATTTTTTTGTATTTCGCTTTTTTGTTAGTTATTTGTTGTATTTTAATGTCATTTCCTGTCTTCTTGTTCTTTACTTAGCCTTATACCCTTTTTCATACGTTTCTTTCTTTGCTTATAATCATAATTTTTCTTTTGTCTTATGCTTTCTTTATTTATTTTTCTGTTAATAATATTATTGATTTTTCTTTCTCTTTCCCCTTTATATTTTCTTAACTTTTTTCTTTTGTTTTTTTTTTTGTTATTATCCAAGCAGTAAACAATGTCACGTGCATTAAATTCTGTCATCTGATTAACATTGCTTCTCTTTATTTTATCTGTACAGTTATTAAAATTCAGCTTACGTCTTTTTTATACTTTGTCGGCGTTTTAAGCAGTAATAAGTGTGATTAACGTCATTTTACGATTTTAATTTTTGTTGTTGTAAGTACTTAGAAGTACAAATATGTTTACAAATGTTTTCACGTATTTTTTAGATAAACCTCTAGTAATCTCAGTAACACAATGAGTAAATATATTAGGAACAAATGCGGAATTTATGAGTGCAAACAGATTTTTCGAGACGATTTCCTAGACAAGCAACCAGACAAACATTTTGGTGGCAAACTTTTAACTCTTTTATTATATATAAATATTTACCATAAGTTCAGGGACAACGAATGCCAATAGCCTGGAGAAAGTAGTGATTTTTTTTTCATGAAATTATTACTACTTCGTAGTACATACATATGTACTTGTATGCATGTAAGTGGAGATTGTGGTTACCTCTGAGGTTAACTAGGCGGCGATCTCTCTAGTGGTGTGTGCCTTTCGGTATATAAGAATTGAGTCCAAACATATTTTAAGCCACTTTTGTGGTAGTTATGTTATGTATATGAAGAATGTGGCGTTAGAAGGTTTTGACAATATTTTTAACTCAAAATAGATTTAGATATTCCAACTCTTGCGCGAACAATATGAAAGGCTCTCGAAACTGGAAGAACATTTTTTCGGAACGAATTATTAGACTGAAATTCTTGATATGCTCGTATACAGAAAAGTCGCTTTGCAAAGTTTGCAACATGAACGATCAGGATGTTTCGATTGACTTTATGAACAGCTTGAATTTTCGTTAAAGACTGCTTTCTTATTCCAAGCAGTGTGTGGAAAATTTATTATATGGTGAATTATTCCACATAAGGCATTCGAGGTCTCCTACTTCATTGGCGAATTATAACTTTTATATTTGATGCTTGGTATCCAAAAAAACTTGTACGTTCTAATTTTTACGATTATAATTTTTAAGCAAAGGGTTATCGCTTTTATTGTACGTTCATTGATAAATTGAGGGTATAATTTTATTCTTTAGAAGACTTTTTTTTTTTGTATATCCTGAACATGTATAGTATATTTGTGTGATGAGTTGAGTCCACAAAAATCGAATGATAATTAAAAAGGTTATAGCCAGACTAAAAGCGAGTCTGAGAAATACTGCTTTTAGGGCAAATGACGTAGGAGCAAGTCTGCATTGCGATTTCAAGTCTGCTTCGAACGAATATAAATTAAATTAATATAAACTATATAATAAATTCTTCCGCTTTCTATTTCTTTCTTATAGTACATACTTGTATAACAATGTGTTCCATTACCACAGGCGGGTTGGAAATAAGGATCAGGCAAGGCCGTAGCAAAATTGAAGCATTTTTTTTATGTATTAGTTATTTATGGGAGTATTATTTTCGGTAGCGACTAATAAGTACATTGTATTCATCAGTCAAGTATCAAAAAACGCAAATGTTTCAGTGTCCATCTAAAGCAGGTATTTTTTTGTCTATTTCTGGATTAATTTGGTTAAAATGTCATCAATATAAATAAAGCAAAAAAAAAATATTGCTCTACCCATGTATATAATATGTGTATTTAAATATATGTTATTCTTAGTTAAGAAGTCATTAGTTCACATTTTTACGAGTATTTTATTACATATAACTGCCGAAATATACAAAAAAGTATTCGGATTTAAAAGAGAAGCGGCGCTTAGTCAGCATATTTACCATATAAAATAGTACTTTATCGGTCGCGGCACGTTTTCGCAAAAAAAAATATAATAACGTATAAACTGTTGCATATTTCTCTATTTGTTTGTATGTATATAAAGTTTATAAAAATTAAAAAAAAAATGGTATGACAAATATGCATTTTAAGTTATGCAAATTGTTAATAATGCGAAAGATAATGGAAAAGGGAATTAAAAAGTGAAAAACCGGGCACTAAAACCCAAAAAAAGAACAAAAATGAAAACAAGTAGAAACGTTAACTTCGGCTGCACCGAAGCTATAATACCGCTCACAGATGAATTCTTATAGCAAATGTATGAAAACGTAACCGGTTAATGGTTTGCATGCAAAGGAAAATATACCTAAACAACTTTTAACTCAAATTATATTTTATGAAGATCTGCATCTTAATTTGAATAGATATTTTATGAAGATTTGCATCTTAATTTGATCGGTCAGTTTGTATGGCAGCTCTTGTATATGCTATGGTAGTCCGATCTGATCAATATGTCGGTTATACTATATGAGCAGCTTAATGGGGAGAAAAGGGTGTGTGCTAATCATTTATAGTCGTATAAACACTTTATAGAGTCTCTGACGTTTCCTTCTGGGCGCTGCAAGCCAATATATCTGGTTCAATGTATAATTTGGCAGCAAGTATGATATACTAGCCCACAACTTCATTTTTCTGGCTGGAACCCCGACTTTTAAGCAGTAATCTATATCTCACAAATTTATTAAAAAATTTAAAACAAAATATGTTACAAAAATCCAATGACGCTCTCTTAAGACTCAATAAAATCTGCGTCTACTTCCCTTATAATATATATATATTATACCATTACTTTATGGACTCAATAATAAATAGCTAAGACAATTAGATATGAACATAATAAATTGATACACAGAAAATCGGTTCATACCTTCCCTTTCAGCCTATTTATAGTATACGATTACAATATTTTCATTCTTCAGCTGGACCTCCATATATTCTATGTAATGACAATATTTAATGTAAGACAAATTGCTTGGATACTAAAAATAAGTAATATTGGTCTATAATTTTATTTTGCCTCTATTTATAAAAAAATAAAGGTTATCGTACCCTCAGATAGAGTCATATCTTCAAGAGCGCGTAATAAATGAGGTGGTTTAATAAAATTAGATAAGATTCACGTTGCTAGTATAGGGTGGTTTGGTATCACTAATGCTTGAAATTGGTACATATCTTCTTGTAACCCCACTATATGGTAGAATATAATATACAGATCTCAGTCCTACCGATTAACTGTATATCACATATGGTGCTCAAAATAAAGAATATTTTAGTAATATCAAACAAGAAACATATTATAACATAGCGTGGTTTTGTACCAGTGTTTGATGATATCAGTCCATATCTGCCTTTAGTAAACATAAGCTAAATAATTTCAGTACCGCCCTTTTTATACCCTGAACAGGGTATATTAAGTTTGCCACGAAGTTTGTAACACCAAGAAAAAAATGTCGGAGACCCTATAAAATATATTCATAAATGATCAGCATGATGAGAGTCCGTCTGTCTGTCCGTCTGTATATATGCGAACTAGTCCCTCAGTTTTTACACTATCGATTTCGCCTCGCTAAGAAGCTGCTCTTTTGATGGATCATATAGCTGCCATACAAACTGAACAATCGGAATCAAGTGCTTGTATGGGAAACTTTTTTATTTGACGTAATATCTTCACGAAATTGAGCATAAGTTATTTCCTAATGCAACAATGTAATCTCCGAAGAAATTGTTTAGATCGGAACACTATACCATATAGCTGCCATATTAACTGAACGATCGGAGTAAAGTGCTTATATGGAAAACTCTTTCATTTGACGAGGTATCTTCACGAAATTAGATCGGAATCAAGCTATTGTAAGGAACCTTTATATCTGTGAAGGATATTGCAACCGAAGTTAACGTTTTTTCTTGTTAAGACTTCATATCGTATATATCGGCAACTACCATATTTGAGTTATCTAAATAAAATTATGTAGTAATCTTTTGCTTAACATAGAGTTGTACAGATTAGATCACTATAGCATATAGCTGCCACACAAACTGACCGAATGAAAATTAATTTCTTATATGGAAATTTTTTTTTTTATTTGACAATATATCTTCACGAAATTTGGCATGGATTATTTTTCCAAGGCAACGTTATAATCTCAGACTAAATTATACAAATCGGACCACTATAGCATATAGCTGCCATACAAACTGATCAAAATCAATTATCTCTGTGAAAACTTTTTATTTGTGAAGGGTATACTACCTTCGGTACAACGTTTATAGTATTATTCTACTAAATCTAAATTTTACGATCCATTTTGTGATATTTGTTCCCAGATATTGCTAATAGTAATATTTTTCAAAAGTAATAAACTTAATATTTGGTCTAAAAAAAAACTTTTTAAATTGGAAAAATCCTCCTGGAGCTATAAAAATTCGCTCGCCTATATTGTTATAGCTGTCACAGCGCATAAATTGACCATATGACAAGCGATTTAAATAATTTACATGGCGAAGTCTCCACTCCTCCCAGTTAATGTTTATTGTTATTATATGGATATTATATGAGTACTCATTAATGTGTCAGTAGTTGCCGTTAACTATATGTATATATTTTTACAGGTGCAAATTAGTATTGAAACTGTTTTATTATATTCCACTGTGTTTTTTGTGTGGTGTATTTGTTTTTATTGGTATTGTAATTTAGTCGTTTTTTTGACAACCCCCTAAATTAACAAGTCTGTCAATATAAATATCAACTTTTCAATTAACTGTCGTTCTTGTAAATATTCGTAAATTATTTATTGTCAGCTCGCTAATTGTTAAAATGGAAATGAAAATCTGTCTGTATATGCGTGTGTTTTCTTATAAATATGCCGGTGGCTGTGTTGCCTCTAAATTATCACATTCTACATCTATTTAAAGACGCTTCTTAACTGATAGCCCAACTAAAAAAAAAAACCCAATGCAAGCTCTAATAAATATTTGTTATAAATATATACAAGCACATACATACTTATATAAGTCCTGTGTACATATGTATATATAATATGTGTATATTAACATTTAGTTACTACCGCTATTTAACATAAATTTGTAAGCGTGGCACGTAAGCCGAGTTTTCGCTGGGGGTCGACCCTCACTGTGCGTCGTTGAGATTTACGCAATCT